GATCTCCAAAGAGCATGATCAAGTCCTGAAGTGTCTCTGAGAATTCAACTTCCTTTCTGGTCTTTGTTGACCATTGAAGCACTATGAACTGTTGGCTATATCTCACATTTCTTGTACCTTGTTATTGATAGATTGCATTTTAAATGCACACATCTATTTAGAGATAATCCACTGAAGATGGATAAACATTATGCATACAAATAGTTTTCCACGTATCCCAAAGTCATGGTTTTCAGGTTTTATGCCTTTCATGCTCAAGGAAACCTACATCATTCATTGACTCATATTCTTTTCCATGAGCTTCCTTGACTGCCTGCTCTATGTAGGTGGGGAGGGTAAGAGGATGATGACCTATGCTGCTATTAAAGATTGACGCTCCTGATTCTGAATGGCATGGTCCAGGATCTTACTCACTTGGAACCACTTATGAGGTGGCCCCATCAGGGTTCTCAGATTAATGGCCAATAACATTAACAAACTCTGAACCACTCTGCTTAGATATCCAGAAACATGGATACAACGACCCTTACCAGTCCTTCTTTATTCCCTACACCTCTAGAGACCAGTGAGAAGTTAGCAACTCTTGCAGAATTGTGCCTTGTGTTTAGTTTTAGCTTCCTCTCCATTCTCTAAATGTTTTCTTTATCTTTTTTTTTTTTTTTTAAGTGCCTAGCTTCCTTTGTAAGGAATTCAGTTTCCTTTCTGTTTCTAATGGTCCTTGAAATGAAAAAAGGGTTGAGTTTCCTTACTTGTTTTTGGGAAGTCTACTCAATGACTCTCAGGAGACTAGCGGTGATCTGCAGAGCTCTGTGTGGAGGGAGAAGACACATTTTTGTATTCTGGCATCTAAACATAGAGACAGGGTTCAAACCAAAGATGTAGCTCGTTAAGTAACAATCCCCAGTATGTTTCAAACATTTCCTTTAAAGCAAAGCTCCAGTTTCTAATTTTCCATCCTTTCGCCTCATGGATGAGTTTGCTTTTGTGCATGTAATATCCTCTTTTATTGGCTTTACCTTACGTCAAAGATTTCATATTGAAGAGACTAGTTTGTGAGGGTAGTGTTGATAAGAAATTTATATCTTAAATAATGGTATTTTTGTTGGCTTCAAATTATAGATTAACTTTATTTTCTCCTAAAATTATGCGTGTGGTTGTGATGGCCTTTTTGCCACCACTTTGACGCTGGTTCCTTGCTGGTGGTGCTATGAGACTTGTATAAGGTTACATCAACTTCATCTGGCACTTCTCCTGTGGACCAGAAATCTCTACAAATGACTTTTTTTGCTTTTACGATCAAACATATTGTCACTAAGACTGAACACTAAGTCCTACTTCTTGTCACATGTGCATAACTTAGTTTTTACTTCCTAGTTTAGGGCTTTCTTAGTTAGGGTTGCTGTAGTTATTGGATTAAGTGATTTTTTTTGGGGGGGGAAGTTAGGCTTTTCCCCCTCCCCCTAAGAAATTAGTTCAGATTTCTCATGGATATGGCTTTGATATGTGTGTTAGACCTTTTTCTGTTTCCAGATTAGCCCATGGAGTCCTTTAATTCTGCCAATCAATCAACCAACCAACCATCTGAATGAAAAAATATGTCAAACTAGCTTAGTTGATTGAGGCATTCAACTGGGATTACATCTCTGCGTATTGTGGATTCTGAGCTTATCAGTGTCTCTGATATTACTAGCATGATGGATTACCTTATTCATAGTGGTCCCACTACATGAAGTCACATTTCTGAAATGTGGCTGGATTCTATAGAATAAACAGCTGCAACTCCAATAATATGCCTGCAAAACTCCAACGTAATATGTGTGTTGATACTTATTGTGTGTAGTGGAGGGCACTGGATAGGAAATCAGAAAAGCTTAGATCTGTCCTAGCTCTGCCATGTTGTTGTTGTTGTTGTTATTTGCCGTCGAGTCGGCCCCGACTCATAGTG